GAAGGAGAAAAAGAGAGAAAGAGAGGGAGAGAGGGAGGGAGGGAGGGAGGGAGGGAGGAAGAAAAGAGAGAGAGTGAGAGGAGAGAAGAAAAAAGAAAAAAGAAAAAAAAAAGAAAAGAAGATGGACAGTGTCAAGAAACTTGATGTAATTACTCTAGCACTTACATGCCAACCAAACTGACCCCAAGAATTAATAAGCAACTTGTGGGGCCAGCAGGTGGCATGGTGGTTATGGTGCTGGACTCCAATAATAATAAAATAAAATCATTCTAAGTATAAATATATATATATATATATAAGCAGCTTGCAACTCAGCAAAATCAAACATTTGTGTCTTGAAATGCTGGGCAGTTCTAATCAGATAAATGTATTAGCATGGGTTATACATTTAACTTACATGAAATCAAGAGCTAGTTTGGTTTCATTTATCCAGTTTAAGTCTATCATCCCACTTTCCCATTAAATCTCTGCATAATATTAAAGATTACTTGTTTACTTTTATCCTTTGGAATATAGTGAAATAATTTCTGGTTGTTTCATGAACAACTGTTGTAGGAAAAAAATTAAGTATAAAATCTAGTTAATGATATTTTTTGGGTCATCAGAAAAGTCATGATGTTTTACTATGCAAAAATCGTTCATGACTTTTCTGACAAACCAGTATGTTCCTTTTTTAACCAAGTTTTGCTTTCTTGGATTCTAAAAAATGCAAATCTTGTTGCAAAATGAAATGACTTTTGTTTTTTTTTTTTTGAGAGGTATTCCCTATAGGGCGTGTGCGCTCGCCAGACAGACAGAGAGAGACATAGAGACAGAAAGCGAGAAATCACCCCCCAGGGGGGATGGTCACGCCACAATCCCTTCTCCTCCATTCTCCTCTTGGGATCTTGGGCACACACGCACACGCGCCCGGTGTGAGTTTTAAGCCACTGGGTCCAGGACTCGAACCACGGTCGACTACGTGGGAGTCCAGTGACTTAGCCATTACGCTAACTGCTGGTTCCCTGAAATGACTTTTATTTCCAATTTACTGAAGCTGCTTAAGTCCTTGACTTCAGTTTACTAAACTGAAATATGGGAATATGTGTGAATCTATTGTGATTAAAAATATTATGTGTAAATTGCTTAGCTTGCATAACAAAATATGTCTCATATGTTGAGTTGCTCTGTATCTGCACTAAATTAATCAGGATTCAATATAGCCTAGGCACAGTACTATACGAAAGTCTTATCCAAAAGAAATGTTGTGTTGATTAACCAGAAGCTACTTAGCTCCTACTGAGTCAATGCCAATACAGGGTTTAACCACCATGCTGTTTGATGAGAACTTGTGGGTATGGGCCATGGGAACAGAGACTAGGACATAAATATTGGTTTTGCATACCTAGCTTACCTCTTCACAACTTCTCAAAAAGTAGCTAGAAAATTCTGGTTTTCTTAAAGAAACAGGAATAATCTTTCACTTATTATCTATAAAATACTATAATCAGACACAAAACAATCTTTTTTCTCCCAGAATGTAGTTCTGTACACTAAAGAGTTAATGACATTTCAGTGACTTATTTTCATGGTGTTAGCATTTTCATTTAGCTGCTTAAAAATCTGTTGTAGATGATAATTATGCCAGCTTTATAAAAAATCATTCATTCAAAAATGATTTTAAAAATCTTTAAATGGCTTTTAGCAGATTTTTATTTCTCAAAGGGTTTCTTTCTACTTATGGAAAATTTGCTTAGATTATGCCCTTATGTCATATTCTCAGTAAATGTTAAATCAATGTAAAACTAGTGGATTTGTATTTCTAAAAATAACCTCTTTCACAGGAAGAAGAACTAAGGAAGAGTGGGGAAGCCAAATATGCCCACTTGAGTGATGAACTTCATGTATTAATTGAAGTGTTCGCTCCACCTGGGGAAGCTTATTCACGTATGAGTCATGCATTGGAAGAGATTAAAAAATTCCTAGTTCCCGTAAGTGTTTTCCATTTTTACCCGAGATGTTTCTCATCAGTTTCTATTTTAATGTGTCTTTGATCCTTGTTGACTTTTAAGAGGAAATTCATACTGTCAACTAATTATTTATACATATGAAGTTAAGTAAAATAGGGTACAAAAAAACACATGGGCTCTGGCAGGTAAGTCTCCCAAGCTGAATAGCAGTATTTATCTTCAGTACATTACATGCTATGTACCAGTTCATAGCCATGAAGAATAAGACAAACCTGGGACCAGCAGTTGGTGTAATGGCTATGTCACTGGACTCCCATATAGTCGACCATGGTTCATGTCCCAGACATGGTGGCTTAAACTCATGCTGGGCGTGTGTGCATGCCCAAGATCCCGAGAGAAGAATGGAGGAGAAGGGATTGTAGCGTGACTATCTCCCCTGGGGGGTGATTTCTCGTTTTCTTCTCGCTCTCTCTCTCTGTCTTTCTGGCGAGCATACTTGCCCTCACCATGCTGTTTGATGAGAACTTGTGGGTATGGGCCATGGGAACAGAGACTAGGACATAAATATTGGTTTTGCATACCTAGCTTACCTCTTCACAACTTCTCAAAAAGTAGCTAGAAAATTCTGGTTTTCTTAAAGAAACAGGAATAATCTTTCACTTATTATCTATAAAATACTATAATCAGACACAAAACAATCTTTTTTCTCCCAGAATGTAGTTCTGTACACTAAAGAGTTAATGACATTTCAGTGACTTATTTTCATGGTGTTAGCATTTTCATTTAGCTGCTTAAAAATCTGTTGTAGATGATAATTATGCCAGCTTTATAAAAAATCATTCATTCAAAAATGATTTTAAAAATCTTTAAATGGCTTTTAGCAGATTTTTATTTCTCAAAGGGTTTCTTTCTACTTATGGAAAATTTGCTTAGATTATGCCCTTATGTCATATTCTCAGTAAATGTTAAATCAATGTAAAACTAGTGGATTTGTATTTCTAAAAATAACCTCTTTCACAGGAAGAAGAACTAAGGAAGAGTGGGGAAGCCAAATATGCCCACTTGAGTGATGAACTTCATGTATTAATTGAAGTGTTCGCTCCACCTGGGGAAGCTTATTCACGTATGAGTCATGCATTGGAAGAGATTAAAAAATTCCTAGTTCCCGTAAGTGTTTTCCATTTTTACCCGAGATGTTTCTCATCAGTTTCTATTTTAATGTGTCTTTGATCCTTGTTGACTTTTAAGAGGAAATTCATACTGTCAACTAATTATTTATACATATGAAGTTAAGTAAAATAGGGTACAAAAAAACACATGGGCTCTGGCAGGTAAGTCTCCCAAGCTGAATAGCAGTATTTATCTTCAGTACATTACATGCTATGTACCAGTTCATAGCCATGAAGAATAAGACAAACCTGGGACCAGCAGTTGGTGTAATGGCTATGTCACTGGACTCCCATATAGTCGACCATGGTTCATGTCCCAGACATGGTGGCTTAAACTCATGCTGGGCGTGTGTGCATGCCCAAGATCCCGAGAGAAGAATGGAGGAGAAGGGATTGTAGCGTGACTATCTCCCCTGGGGGGTGATTTCTCGTTTTCTTCTCGCTCTCTCTCTCTGTCTTTCTGGCGAGCATACTTGCCCTATAGCAAAAACCTCTCCAAAAAAAAGACAAACCTAGAAGCACAGATATAAAATTGAAGTTGTCCACTTTTTCCTTTGTCCTATTTACTTGACATATATTGTTAGTATTTTATAATTAATAGAGAAATCATTTGGAGGTGTAGTAGAAGAGGAGATTAGATATGTAATAAGATAATGATATTATCTTCATATATCACATACATTTTTATGTAATGGTATGCCAGGTGTTGGTTTATTATAAAATATATCAATCATGTAAAATAATGATTAGATGCAGATATTTGTTGACTTCAAACACAAGTTGGAAAAGCAAACTTACTGTACTATGTGACAGCACAGATAATATTCAGGCAGCCAATTCAGGGTCGCATATTCAGTACAATTCTCTACTGATTTTCCAAGAACTAGAAGAAGGTTAAATGAATGAGGCTTTCCTAAAGGCTGACAATTTAGCCTTCTAGGAAGAGGTTGTTCAAATAGAAATGTTGGCATCAGGCTTAGAGCTGGGAATAAGATAATTAGAAGAGAATGCTGAATAAAGTTTTCTGGAGTGTCTGGGCAAAAGTCTTTGGCAGAGAGAGTAGCTAAGATTAATCTATGTAATGAAGGAACAGTAGATTTCTAAACTAAGCAATAAACTCAGAGGAAATGGTGGGTAAGATTCATTGATTGGCAGTGATTTTGAGAATGGGAAAAGAAAAAAAAAAAAGAGAGAGAGAATTTCCAGACCATAAAAGCATCAAGACCTAGCCACATAATATATTTATATGTCCAGTTTAAAAATTAAATTCTGCCAAGACAAGGTTATAGACAACCCCATACCAATTTGACCATCTCTCAACTTTGTGCACAAAGAATTTCTGTACAATTTATAAGCTGGCATTTATCTGAACATCTCCCTAAATAGATCTCATATTTCTTAAGAATGAGGATGCTGTGTTCTCTCTCTCTTTCACCTTATACTACAATAAATGTCCAGGGCTATACTAAGTAAAGAATTTTACTATATTTAGTTCAAACCAGACCTCTGCTGATACACATAATATTGAATAAGTCTAGGATTGCCTATGTAATTAACTTATAACTGTAGACAAGTCATGTAAATGTTCAGAACTTCAGCTTATTCATCTTTACAATTAATATAGTTATAATTGACCTTTCTCACAGTTCCCTTAAAGGGAGTAGTGTATCTAAAAGAACTTAGAAAATCATGAAGCACTGTACAAAATTTTTTAAACATTTTTGTTGTTAATATAAATAGAAGGATCTAGGAATGACTTTTTGAAATAGAATTTTCTAAGACAAAAATAATGTATAAATAGTCCCTAGTGTATGAAGGTTCAACTTAATGATATTTAGACTTTATGATGGTTTGAAAGCAATACATATTTATCAGAAACAGTGCTCTGACTACCCATGCAGACATTTTGTTTTTCACTTTCAGTACAGTATTCAAAAATTACTCGATATTCAGTACTTTATTATAAAAATAGACTTTGTGTTAAATTAGTTTGTTAAACTTTAGGTTAATGTAAGTGTTCTGAGCACATGTAAGATAGGCCAGCCTCGGAACCAGCAGTTAGCATAATGGCTATGTCGCTGGACTCCCATGTAGTTGACCGCGGTTCACGTCCCGGACCCAGTGGCTTAAAACTCAAACCGGGCGCATGTGCGCGTGTGCCCAAGATCCCGAGAGGAGAATGGAGGAAAAGTGATTGCAGCATGGCCATCCCCCCTGGGGGGGGGTGATTTCTCACTTTCTATCTCTCTGTCTCTCTGTATGTCTGGTGAGCGCACGCGCTCTATAACAAAAACCTCTCAAAAAAAAAAAAATAGGCCAGCCTCAGCTATGATGCTTGGTAAGTTAGGTATATTAAATTCATTTTGGCATGATTTTTTTTTTCAAATTAATGGATTTATTTGGAATTAACCCCATCATAAATCAAGAACCATCTATATTTCATAGCACTATATATATATATATATATATATATATATATATATATATCACTAATTGGGGTAGGCGCGCTTTAA